CACACACACACACACACACACACACACACACACACACACACAGAGGACATTGCGTCACTTCAGGAGTGCTGGTTCCGAGAAAACAAAAATTCTGACAATAATTGGCACGTTTCACAGAATGGCTGCGGACACATATGATGTCGCAGATCTGACCACGGTAATGAAGCTGTCTTGTAAGGAACTCAGACAGATGGACTACCCATGGAAGATAACCCGCACGGCGATTTTGGCGTTCATCAGAAACTGCAAGGACACCAAAGTCCGGAATAAATTCCGTAAGTGTCTGGAAGCAGAAGAAACACCAATCGAGAAATGATATAAAAGAGAAACATAAAAGCGACAAAAGAAAAAAGAAAAACGCGCATGCGACGGAAGAACCTAAAAAATCACATAAAGGACCGGGAAAATCTACAGATATAATGATGCAAGAAGTACCGGATGGATCTCCCAGCATACGCAGTAAGTGAATCGAATCGAAACCCAGGATAATCATACGTTTCCAAAGTACAGGCGACAGGAAAATGAAAGTACTCATCTGAGATATAATGATGAAACCCACGACCGCGCGAATGACAAAAGCAACAAACAAAGCCAGATACAAGCCAGTAATACAAGTCAGATATAAACACGAAAATTTCGACAGAAATACAGCCGAAAGGGAAAGCAACTGAACGAGTACCGAATTCCGACCAAAAGAGAAATAGAAATAGGAAATGACATTAGGACAGAAGCGTATGCAGGAGGAAGACGTTATATACAGCAAATCGACGACCACGGGAAATCATCAACGACGACAAGGGCAGTACAGAGCGCGACTACGGAAAACTCAGAGGCAACGATGCTGAGGACGCTGCAGGGAATGAGGACAAGTAGGTGGGAAGGATAAGGAATAGGGTATAAATTCAGGGACAATGGCAGAAAGGATTACATGAGCAGTGAGGTAGAAGGGTAGTCGCGACAGTTGTCGCATGCCACGGACAGGACGTGTATACTGTGAAAGTAAAACCTCGCACGTGTTGTCGATTATTGCATGTGTGTGTCTTTCTTTCTTTCTCTCTCTCTCTCTCTCTAGTATGGTAAACTTGTCTGAATGGATCCTACCTGCTAGGTGCGGGGGTGCAACAAAAAATGGGGATGTGACCCATCTCCCTCCCTCTCTCTCTCTCTCTCTTATGATAAACTTGTCTGAATGGATCCTACCTGCTAGGTGCGAGGGGGGCCCAAAAAATGGGGACATGAACCGGGATTAACCAGTTTGATCAATGACCAACCTTGTTTCGCACCAACTGTAAATATTCAGCCGCTGCAAAACAGGACTTTTTTTGGGGTGTACTTAGACTGCCGACGGAATCTAGCTGGAATCAAGGTCAGGTAAGACCAGGAAAGTTCAAAGACTATTCCCTTTGTTAATGCGGGGAGACGGAAACAAGCAATGGACTGGCCTTTGGCTTGCGTTGGACAGAATATGCTTCTGTCAGGCAGCTTTTTTTTTTCCCCTCCTCCCCTCCCCCCCCCCTGATTCGTGAGATAACGCTGCCAATAAAAGAGAGAAAGAAAGCCGTCTTTACAGTTGGTGTAGTGCAGCATCATACCAGCATGCTCTACATAGCAAAGCTTGTCGAAAGCATGCCATCGAGACTTCATGTTTATTGTTAGAATTTATAAGATGACTACGGTCTTCCCCCGAATACAGAACACCCTCATCATGACAGTATTGCATAAGAAAGATTGTTCATATACATCAGGGTGCATTGTATTCGGGTGAAGACGGTAGCTTAGCATTACATGAAGTACCCGCAGTTGCTTGGCCATAAAACTGCTGTCTTCTCCTTGATCCCTCCAACATGGGGTTATTTTTGCTGCATCTGGCCTGAAAGTTGCGTTGAATACGAGCTGCATGTACTCCGTGCTCTATCCAAGAGAAGAAGGAAGCCCTACGGTAGGCTATTCCAGGTTAACTGTGGCAGGTCAGGTCAGGCATCAGTCAGGGGCTCTAGGAACCCTGTAGTGTAGAAATAGTCTGGGAATGTCCTGGAATGCCTGAGTCTGTGAGTTGACGTGTGACAACTCATGTATCGTGATGAATGTGTTGCAAAACTCAATGTTATCTTCTTTCCACCTATCGATACGTGTTTGAGGCTCATTGTTTGTTTGTGTTCATTGACGTTTATGACAGTGATGATGCTTACGACTCCCTGGTAAAGGAACTGCGTGACCTTGAAGCAGAGTTGAAGGATCAGGATTCTCCACGTGATGAATTGGTAAGGAGATCGCTCACATGGACATACATGTATGTACGTGTGTGTGTGTGTGTGTGTGTGTGTGTGTGTGTGTGTGTGTGTGTGAATGCATGTATGATGATTGTGCGCATCGTTTGCACCCTCCCCAATGGCCCTGTTCCCCTCTCCTCTTGCACAATTCTGTCGTGACTCCTCTCCGCTCCCTCTCTCTCTCACACACTTCTCTCCCTGTGTCTCTCGATTCTTTCTCTGATAAATCTCTCCTGTCCCTCTCTTGTCCCTCTCCTCGCTCTCTTTACTCACACCTCTCTCCCTCCCTTTCTTCTGCCTCTGTCTCCTCTCTCCCTCCTCCTCTTCTCACCTGGTATCTTTCTCTCTCACACGCGCACACAGGCGTGAACCCACAGTCTGCAGAGTTCTCCATATGATGTCACGAGGTGATAGTCTGCTGTGATCCTTGCAGCATCTCTAGGTTTCTGTGCTGATGCTGTCGTCCCGCTTTCTTCTTGCGAGTCCTGCTGTATTGCTGTGTGCCTGCCTACCCGCCCGCTTGCCCCGGCCGCCTGCTTCCCTTGCTATACGCTGACATACTGCATGCCTTGTTGTGTTGCTCTGTGCCTGCCCCTCGTCCCTCCTGGCCGCCCGCTTGCCTACCATCTTCAAAATAATGCATTGGCGACGGGCGTGATCTTGTATTCAGTAAATTGCTGGGAACTTCGATGACACCCCCTGAAAAAAGGAAAACAAAAAAATTCTGTGAGAAAAAGTTGTGTGGAATTCCAATGCAAAGTTGGAAACACCTTTTGGCTGAGGGTCACTTCAGAATTGCTTACCAATTCGAAGATAGGAAAAAAGAAAAAATCTAACTGAAGCATTCTACCCATGCCACATTTTAATATACAGCCCGGGCATTATATTCTACATTATAGTTGAAGGGGTGGGGTGTTACATTCCCCAAAAAGTGAGTAATCTGACTCTTGTAGGGTAAGTTGAGTATGAGGCCCGGACGTTATTTTTGGGTGAAGACGGTAGCTATATGCTGCCTAGTGCATACACTGCTGTGTGCCTTGTCGTGTTCCTGTGTGCGCCCAGCCTCTCCCCCCCCCCCCCCCCCCCCCCCCCCCCCCCCCCCCCCCCCCCCCCCCCCCCCCTCTCCCCCGAAAAAGAAAAGAATCCTTTAAAACCCTATTAAAATCCCAGGACATCCGATCCAAATCTAATGCTGTCTTCATCTAATTGAAAGGGAGGGATACAAAATGTCTGCGTGTCTGATTTGATTGAGTGGATCTGCTGGATGCTCTCCTTTTTGTTTTGTTTTGTTTTGTTTTGTTTTGTTTTCTTGAGCAAATGATGGTATTGCAATGAACGTTAGTATCGTTGTTTTCCATTCTCTTTGCTATCATTGTATCAGTGTATGTACGGGGTTCAGCCTCCGTAAGAGGACAACAAACAAGGGCCTGCATTTGCGTGTCGGGCATTGGTTTGTCCTTAACCACAACCGGGGTTAAGGTGGATTACCACTTACAGTGTAATCAGTTAGGGGATTCTGCAGACTGTCGAGGGTTCAGCCTCCTGATGAGTCAGTCGGTGAAACTCTGACGAGAAAGAGTCTGTGACAGCCCCCCCTTGTTTGTTGTCTCCTCTCCTCTTCTCCCTCTCTGCCTACGGCTCACCGGGCAGTTCTCTACGACGATATGTACATCTATATATCTTCGCATCTCTGTATACTATATCTCTCTCTGTGTTTTTTTCTACGTTTTAAATCTTAGGAGGTGTCATCAACGGCATGGGGTCATGTTACAATCCGTCGATAAGCTCTTACTGCGAAGTAGTTTTTAATCCTGGAGTACAGTATGCCTCACTCAATGTGAAAGCACGACTTCGTCATACTACGCGAAGGCGCAGAAAGTGAAAACAGAGTGAAAACAGAGTGAAAACAGAGTGAAAACAGAGTGAAAACAGAGTGCAACACACGACTTTCGTTTCTGCGCAGAAACGAAAGTTATACTACACGAAGGTGCAGACTGTGAAAACAGAGAACGCAGAATGTGAGAACAGAGAACGCAGAATGTGAAAACAGAGAACGCAGAATGTGAAAACAGAGAACAACTGGGAAACTGGAGATTATCTGCGGACGTTGTTTTGGGTTCTGTGGGGCATTTACAAACTCGGGGCGGGACGCTAGGGTGCCTTATTGCCTTTCCCCGAATAGAACGCCAGGTCCTGATAGCTGTATTTGGGCACAATTTTGTGTCTGGAGACAACATTCCGTCTGGGGGAAGATGGCAGCCTTGCAACACTAAACAGAGACTTCGTTCATCTCGCAGGCAATGCGAACTCGATTGCCTTGAGACCATCCTTGCACGACGACACTTTCACACTGCACTTGCAGCATAGGACGCACACACACACACAAAGCACACTTGAGATGGATCTCGAACATAGTCTCCGACAATCAAACTCCATTACACCAGATTGCCTTTTTAGATGATGGGCGGCTATGACTGCCAGGCAATCTCTCTCTCTCTCTCTCTCTCTCTCTAAGCGTCACGTCCTCCCTGAATGCCTCTCAAAGTCACTCACTGTTGCTTTTTCACTCAACCTAGCTATGGCTACTGACTACCAGCACCTTCGACTATTTCTTACTGCAGCGCACAGAAGAGTATTCCAAAATAGTGCAACAGCGCTTCTGACTGGTCACGGACGTGAAAACGTGAAAACGTGTTGGTGATTTCAACAAGTGTATGTGTTTACGATTTCAACGACTGGACTTTTTCACTGGGCAATTCGCCTTCCGGACTTCCTCCACCGGTTATAGGCAGGTACCCTCTCCCAGCCTTTGCTGTATTTTGCTCATTTGCTCCCAGTGGAGTTCGAACTCAGGGGCAAGGTCCCACTTGCACGGATTACGAGATTCTGACCGTTGATCTGTGCTATCTACGGTCAATATCTCTTAATTCGTGTATGTGGGACCTAGCCCCATGTATGCATTTCAGCACTACTGGGACTCACTGGGACTTCGCTGCTGACTGGACCGACTGACAAACAGTAGGCTAGTACCCTCTCCCAGCCTTTGCTGTATTTTACTCGTTTGCTCCCAGTGGAGTTCGAACTCAGGTCTGTTTTTCAACAGTTCAGGGGTGTGTACCAACTGAGCTAGGCCAGTTGGTTTCCCAGCCTTTGTCACTTTGGGAAGTTTAGGGACTTTACTGGGATTTTGCTGCTGACTGGACCGACTGAGAAAAAGGGCCTACCGGCTTCTACAAGACTTGTCCTAAACCTACGGGTACACACCGGAATCTGCCTCCCCTATAAAGTGACAACTTTAAAAAAAAAAGAAAAAGAAAAAAAGGAGAATCTGCCTCCCTACCTGCCGGAATCTTCGTATGTACGTAGTACGTGCCAGTATCTTCCTACGTCAGCCTACTGAGAGTAACCTACCTGGGACTCGGGAATATGGTATGCAACGAGGACTGGGAGTGGGACTGGAACTGGGACTGGGACCAGGCTGACAGCTGTGAAGTCCTTTCACCCCTGCCGGCCTAGGTTCGAGGTCCTCCGAGAAAGGCTACAGCTTTCTTAGCCAGTCTAGAGCTGCTCATAGTGTGATACTATTCAGGGGGCGCAGTCTATAGCCAGCTTTCTTAGCCAGTCTATAGCCCTCTCTTCGGAACCACCTATCCTCCTCTAGGCATTGGTACTGGTACAGTGGTACCTACAGTTGTGCTGCATCTGTGGTCTTCCCCTTCTTCCTGTCGTGAATGGTGCGTCATCAACAATGCGGTCTACATCATAGCTACCATACATATTAGGAGGAATAGTTGGTCTTCGAGGGGGCAAACTTGTAATCTCGTATAGAAGGCAGTAATCTAGATGCATTAAACCACCAGTACACGGCCCCAGCCTTGCAGTCCGAAACTTGTCGCCACGTCAAACGCCGCGCCCCCCATTGATAAATTAAAACGCCGCGCCCCCCGTTGATAAATTAGATCGGTGGTCGCGGCCCAGGTGCCCATGTACTGGTGCTTTAAACATAGGGTAGGTTCTCAGGTGTCCAGGCAAGTCTATGACATAAGATAAGATGGTCCGTCATCTCCGCCTATTGTGTCTAATACTTCACAAGGTCCTCCGGTATGCAGGAAGTAGCTTTTGAAAAATATCTTCTTCAAGCACATTTAGGACATCAGATGGTCCGTCATCTCCACCTATTGCATCGAATATTTCACAAGATCCTTAAGCCTCAAGTTATGGTAGTGGTTGAGTCTGATTTAGCGAGTACGCTGAGTTCACCCCCTGCCTACAGAAGCGAAAACGAAGTTAGTCATCCACGACTTCTCTAGCATTTTGAAAAATGTCTTCCTCAGGTAAGAAGTTAAGAACCCTTTAGACTTAAACCACAAGTACGCGGCCCCAGCCTTGCAGTCCGAAACTTGTTGCCACAAGAAAATGAGGCCAAATGAGGCCGAAACGTCAAAAACGCTGGGCCCGCCGTTGATAAATTTGATTAGTGGCCCCGTTTTCGTTTCGCACCTCCAGAATTTGAGGTGTCAGACCTGCAGCCCAGGCGCCCACGCACTGGTGGTTTAACTAGACTATAAGTCACCTACAGCAAATTGTGATGGTTTGGGCATCGCTCCACTACTTTCGACATGCGCACAAGACAAAAATCATGGTGGTGTATCTTTCCATGTTCTAGCGGAAGATTCACTCTTGTTTTGCACATTTTGAGAGTAGTAGAGCGAGGCCCTTTGTGACGTCTGTTAGCCTGTTCCATCATCTTATGCTGGGTTGTGTGCTGTATCTTTCCTTGTTCTAGTGGAAGATTCACTCTGGGTGATGTTATTGTGTTGCTTTCTCGATATCGTTCTTGTACATTAGTGCAAAAACGTTTTTGGAGATCCACGGGGCAGTCTCTGTATCTGGTCCGGATTCAGACTGTCTTTGGGTCTGTGCGGTCTCCAACCCCTGTGCAATTTGAAAGGCGTCCTAGCTGCTGACAGATGCACTGAATTGTTCTTGGCACTTGCTACCCTGGGTAACCTTGTATCCCAATCCCAATCAATCTGGTAAGGTATACTATACTTACGCAAAGCCTGTTGCAGCAGCGTACTACTCATCTATCTGTTCAATCTGTCCGTTCGTCTCAGGGTGTTTACTCAGCATAAGCTATACTATACTTACGCAAAAGTCTGCTTGACATCTGCTGACAGATGCACTGAATTGCTGAACCTCGTATACTATACTTACGAAAGTCTGATTCAGACTGTCTTTGGGTCTGCGCGGCCCCCACCCCCTGTGCAATTCGTCACCGAGGTGCATCTGTCAGCTGAGACCCACATTCTCTTTCATTAGATGTTGCCAGAGGCTTCGTTGTTGAACCTAGCATCTCTATCGCTAACTATAGGTCACAGTTTTTTTTTTTGTTTTTGTTTTTTTTTTGTTTTTTTTTTAATTTGGACCATTTCTGGATTTATGCGTGTCATCCTTGCGCAGGGGCCATGCTAATCTTCTCTGTATCGTTCCAATTTTAACGGATGTCCGGAAGGACTATAGGGTTGCCTTTATTTTAACCTGCATTCTTTCATTAGATGTTGCCAGAGGCTTCGTTGGTGAACCTAGCATCTCTATGGGCCTCGCCACACGGCACACGAAACGAAAACGAAACGAGTGCATCTGCCCAAGGAAGGTGGCAAAATACACTCGTTATTATTTATAGCAAACCGACGAACCTGGCCATTTTCTGGAGGAAGATGCACTCATTTCGTTTTTCGTTTTGTGTCCCGTGGGGCGACGCCCTATCACTAAGTATGGTTAAAGGGTTTGCCGTTGTCTTTGATCCAATTGGCAAACAAGAAGTCGTGGACTGCAGTAGCTTTGGATTTGCTTCTGTAGGGACGGGGGTGAATTCAGCGTACTTGCTAAATCTGCTAACCACAACCATAACTCGACTGTTTCCTCTTTTGCTCTTCATCCCTGGTGTCCATGAAGTCTATCAAGATCGATTCTTTAAGTCTTGAAGGAATAGGCAGTGGTCTTAGCAGGCCTAAATGCGCCTTAGTGGTGTACAGTTTGGATCCCCCTAATGTATGTATTTGATGCAGTCAAACTCCATGCCTGCCCGCATAAAAGAACACAGCAAATCCGAACAAGTCTTTTGCCCGCCAAAGTTTCCGTTTGCGTCTTGGCATTCTCCTAAAATGGTGCTGCAAATTTGCTCATCATTTTCAATGCAGAGTCTGTTCTCTCTTCGAGATGTCAGAATTAGCAGGTTGTCAGATACTCTATACTCCTGGACAACTTCTGGCCTGCCGCTCTTCACCTTACTAACTACTTCACGAAGTACGGGTCATTTCGATATGCTTTCTCTATTCTGTTGTTTGTAGATCCTCTGCAGCATTGAGCTACCTTTTTGCTCTCACAGTCGATTCACATTTCTCTTACATGTTAATGTTCTTGTGCCTTACTTTTTTTCTCTCTCACAGTTTATTACCATTTCTCTCAGTCAAATTCTCTCTCTCTCTCTCTCTCTCTGTCATCTCTCTCTCTCTCTCTCTCTCTCTCTCTCTCTC